CTTGGAAGGTAGCTGTTGCGAGATTCGATTAGTCTTTCTCGCCTCGAAGACTGTAGGTTCAGCGGCTGACTTGCTGCATCTTTTGGTGCAGCAGCGTAACTGTTAAGAAGGCGAAAACAGGGCTCACCTGGAGTTATGATCAATGCATCACATTGCATTTACGGCAAATGACCCTTATTGCATCAATGGCATCCACAATTATTGCAATCGAATCTAGCAGCATTTAGCTTGGACATGATGGTCAGCTTGAGGTGTTGAGGTGCACAGATGTGAAAGCGAGAAAAAAAGAAAGTATAGTTAGCACCAGACAGTGGTGTCACGCATCATTACAATGCCAGGTTTGGACTCGCCACACGTGTGGGATGTCTTGTAATAATGGTGTTTTTGGTTGCAGGTGAATGGGGTGAACGTTGAATGGGAAAGTCATGAGAAGGCGGTTGAACTGCTGAAATCAGCGAGAGGCACCGTGAAGCTAGTGGTACGGTACACACCGCGACTCCTGGACGAAATGGAACGTCGATTTGAGCGACAGCGACGTCGAGCCAACCAAAATAGCCCGGCACCTGTCTTTAAGCGATAAACCGTGCCTCCAAGTGCTTTCATGTCTTTGCTGTGTATTCTCGAAAAGCTGATTTTTGCGTTTTTGTTGATCTCTCGCATAAGAAGCCCGCGGAGGCGTTTTTGTCATTGTTATGAGCTAGTTGTGAACCCCAGCCAGGTATGCCGCATGCATCGACACTGATGAGCTGCCTTCGACGTGCATTTGGCCCAGTGAACCATAGAACTTCTCGCTTAAGCGTCATTCATTTTCAGGGCTAGTTTATTCGGCAGATGAGTTGTTGCGCACTTCCCAGTGGCTTTCAATTTCTATGGCCTACCATCTTGCTATTTAGGCAAAATGCGTTCGGTGCAGCAAATCGTGAACAAACATTGAGCGTCATTAGATGATGATCCTCTTTGACGTTCGGATGTTTTTCAAGGCGAATTTCGCTGCACAGGTGAGAGGCATTGATTTTCGGTGATATTTGTTCCAGTGATGTCCTCGTCTTCTTTTTCTAATAAGTCTCTGTGCTCATTTTGGATTATTTGATTCGCCAGTTAGTTCATGGTGCTTTTATTCGATGATATTTATGCACTAATTATATGGTCCTGATTTCGTTTTCGCGAAATGTTTAAAACATTTGTATAAATTTTATGCTTTCAATACTCCATATGTTTTTATTTGTTCTTGGTCTTGAAATCCCAGCATTTTATGATACCGTACAATAATACTACGTTACTATGAATTCCCTCCCAGGAGTTCTTTCTGTGGCTATCTGTCCCTCTCACTTCGTGGTGGCACAGATGGATGCCACCTACGGCTGAGGCGAAGTCAGGTTTGTGTATTCGCGGGATTTGCAAAGGAGTTCGTGTAATCAATGGAAGGTGAATAAATTGTTTACAAAAATGGCTTGCTTTTCCCAAATCGTTTAAAAGCAAATTAATGAAGATTTATTAGCATATGTTAGTACCAATTTACTATCTAAACGATTGAAGGAATTGGTTATATAAATGTGCTTCGGGGTTTCTGGATTAATTGGTGTAGAAATGGTCTTGCGCTTCTGGGTTTTTGATTTGAATCTTTACTGGGCATTCTTTTTGATCACACAGGCTTAGGTAGGAGTTTCCAGCTCTGTTTTGTTTTCCAAACGATCCTCGAAAAGAGAAGATTTGTCAACAAATGATGGCTGATACTGTCACTTGGGCTTGAAACAGAAATTGTATTTTTAACGTGAAAAAGCTTTCTTTTCCCGCAGTCGCAGGTTGGGTTTCTTTTCCATCTGCAATGGTATTACTTGTTTAAGGCTTCCAGAAAGGGATCGAGCGAAAGTGTTGCTTTTCTGTGTATCGCCATTGGACAATTTTGTCGGCTGTGCTTTTTGTTGCAGTGCAGTGCTGAATAATGAGAATACGAAGCGATGTTTGAAGACGCCAATCACATTCGTGAACAATTGGACAATTTGGACAGTGAAGAACGAGCGCTCCAACGTCTCTATATACAACTCACAGGTTCTAGAATCCTTGCGTTTTTTTGCTAAATAACGAAAGACATTTCACAGATATGCTCCTGGAATACGGTTTTGTGTTCAAAATGCGCATCCGGAAACCTCTTTTTTGGGAAATCCGATTCTGTTAGTTCTGATTTTTCATCTCTAGTCGGTTTCAAGAATAGACGGAAATGGAGAATAAAGTTAAACTCAGCTGATTCAACAAATTGATTCATTGAATCAGTTCAGTTGAGCTTTTTTCTCTGTTGCATTCATACCGATTACTCGGCTGGGAGGCAGCGAAGAAATGAGGTTACATTCAAAATTGCCACATCTTTTGAGGCAGCCTTCGACAGCTTTGCCGGTGGATAGTTGCTTTGGCATGTGCGATAGCTTCCTTTTGAGTATCTTCTCCTCACATGTAATCTGAGCGCGGAAGAGGTTCCGGTTTTTATTGACACTGAAGTGTAACAGTTGTAGAAAAGTTTGACTTTTCCTTCTTTTGACAGGTTACAGTTCCTCAAGAAAAAGATTAGAAATAATCCGAAAACCAAAATCTTAGGAAAAAACAGTTAAATATATGATGTACAGACTGCATTTACTTTTGTTGGTGCTACTTCCGACACAACATACCCTATATCTGATTGCTCAGTCTCCAGCATCAGTCTTGCTACGCTTAAGGCATATAGCCGCCTTCGTTTCTTCTTGTAGGTGGTTCTGCAGGGCAAACTATTCAAATAAACACTTGTTTTAACGACCAATATGTCAATAAGTTATGAAGAATTTGACCTGTTAGTGCAAAAGTACTAAGAAGATATAAATGTCGCATTTTGAAAATCTCCTAATAAAAGTATTAATAATTTGTTGAAACAGAACAAATTTTGTTTTTTATGCGTCTTCGCTGTGCAGCTGTAGCGCTGCTACAGCGAGCAAAAATGCATATTGTCGAAAGGTCGTCTGTATGTGTGTGTTCGGAAGTGAGTGGACTTTGTCACCCACTTTCATATCAGTAACCAGAAAAACTGGGAGGCTGAAGTTTTGGATGTGTGCTCGTAGTCCCCGTGTCATTCTCCCGTTTTAAGATCTTCCCTCACACGCGCCTAGACCCCGCGCACAGACTCTTTAAAAATATGCAAATTTCTTTGGCGGGATACGACTTCGCGAATCAGACAAGACGGAAAGCTGAAACTTTGCAGCGATATTCTCTGTGCATGTGTGAACTAAAGATTTCAAATTCAGTTATCGTGCACGCTTGTGCAGCGCATAAGATCATGTCAAAGTTTGTAAATTGAGACTGTACTTTCTCGGAAACTTGCTGGAAAACATTGGCTGAAATCTTCTCAACATGTTTATCGCCCATGTGGGAAATCGTATACCTAGAATGAATACCGATTTGCACTTGCATCACGACTTAGAGCACTTCAAAGATATTTCTTGCGAAGTGGCTATTACGCTTACCGGATAAGATGCGAGGCTGAAACTTCGCTGTGATATTGTACTTCCATATGCGGTTTTAATTCTATTTGGAAGTGAAATTTCCTGCAAGTGGGCATGAGAAGTACTTTACTTTGCCAAAAAATCAGAAATGAGTCCAATTTGTAGCGAACGGCCGCCCTCATCCTCTCCCAACATGTAAATGAACTCATTTACATATATGAATTTTTTGATGAACGACCGCTGTAGCAACATTTCCACCTTTCGGTGAAGAAAGCTGCATAAAAAGCTGAACAAAAACGCATGCTCGCACCGGCTAGTCTGGTGCTTTCCAGCCTGAGTTAACTTTATTATTTTTGCTTTCCTAGTGCTTAAATTGTCGCTTTGATTGTGTGATTGTTTTCGACTTTTACACCTCTGACAATGGATTGTGATAATTGATTTAGCTTTTCTATAATTCGACGTGGAATTTTAGGTTTGAAGCGAGCCGTAGAATTGGAGTCGATGCGCCTGAATGCTCTGAAAATTTCACTGCTCTCCTCGCAACGTGCCTCCGAAACGAGCAACTCACCATCCGAATTTGTTTTGAACAAAACGTTCGATACTTAGCCTTGTATTTTTTCTTCATCTTTGATCATAATTTCGGAAATTTTTCAATTTTCAGCAGACACTATTTTACGCTGTTTTATTTTAATTTTTCCTAGATTTGTTCTGCGTCAACTATCCTAGTGGAATCATGTTTTGAGTTTTTGAATAAATACTTCTTTTGGTATTTTCTAGTTTTCACAGGTCTCAGTCCTGTACGAATTCTGAATATCTTCCGAGCACTGGACAATTGTCCAAGTGTTCGATCTTTCATAAATTTTGCTTTTAGCTGTTAGCGTTACCGCTGTACCACCAGTCGCCTTATATCCACGGAATTTTTGGCGTAGATTCTTGTTTGTTCTGGGGTTTTTCCTGAAATTTATATCGCAGCTAATGAGTATGATACGATGATAGTCGGCGCTTTTTTTGATTAAGGTCGGGATTTGACTTTACCAATAGGAGAACTAAACTCTGTGTGATTTTTTCTTTTGTTGGTAACTTGGTGTGGTACATTCAAAGAGTTAAGATCGCCGTCATCAGTTTTGCTTCTGAATAACCTCTGAAAGCAGTAAACACCGACAGATCAATGTTTGCTAAACTCTTTATTTTCAGGCATGACATATAATGAATAAAGCACTAACACTGATGAACGGCTGGCGTCTATTACGTACGCTGGCAAAAGGGTACGCGAAAGATGGCACTCCGTCCGATCTGAAAATAACTGATCATTGTGTGCAACGATTAAAAGAAGTGGCGAACAGCGATGAGTTCTTGAGGATACTGGTCGATAGTGGTGGCTGCTCGGGCTTCGAGTATAAAATGAGCCTGGACACCAAAGTCACTGATGATGATATAATTTTTCGTCGAGATGACATTAAGATT